GAGTATTTAACGGTTGTACATTTGAATTTATATTAAGGTACGTTACAAATTACGTGTCAGGGCTTACGTTACATTTGAATGTTAAAAACGCGAGAAATGTAAATAGCGCGCTTGACTAGATAAAAAAAAATTAATAAAATAATAATAATAATAAATTAAAAGACCAAGGAACAACATAATTAAAAGGAAAGAGACAATTCTAGATGTTTCAATTGCTGATTAAATGGGTTTTCCCACTTAAGGTTACTTCCTATCTTCGCGGATGTCCATTGGGAAAAATTCGTACGCGCGCTAGTTTGAAGAAAACCCTAGCAAACTACGCATCAAAACAAAGATTAATAAATACAGTTTACGTTAAAAATATAATTTAGGCGATTTTTCCATTTAGCAAGTGGCAAGAGCCGGTAAGGCGCGAGACGACGGAGCGTCCTACTATTGAATTTATCGAGTATCGGATCCCGCGGCTCGGGAAAAATGGCTGCACAGTCTCATTCCCAAGGCATCAATCAACAAAAGCGTGTCAGGCTTTACCGATGTTCTGATTGGTTGTTTAGATATTCGCATCTAAAGTGAGAGTAGCAAAAGTTATGCGAAGCGTGTTGCGTATATGAACACCACGTAAAAATATTTCAAATATCAAAATTTCCTGACACACTTTTGTTCGTCATCATCCCAGGAATGTTTTAGCGAAATTTCACGAAAATCGGTCAAATCTGCATACCCTATAAATTCGCTCAAAGTGGATGTGTTCCTCTCAAAATTAAATGCGAGATTTTAGCTGCTGAAGGTTTCTAACAACCTCTATTCCGTTTTAAAATGCCACGGAAAGTCAAATTGTAAGTGAATGCAAATATGTGTTTTGGAGTTGTCAGTCTGCTTGTTTGTACCTTGCTGGAAGAGGCGCTTATTTGNCTTTGAACTTCAGTCGTATAATAAATCTCTTATTAACCAAGCTTGCTCGGGACCGTACTGGAAGAACATCGGCCCTCGGCCTTTTTTGTGCGGACCTCGCTGCGCTCGGTCCGTACTGTCAAGACCTCGGGCCGATATTCTCCCAGTACGGCCTTCGCGCTTGGTTAATAAGATATATATAAAAGACCAAGAAACAACATAATTAAAAGGAAAGAGACAATTCTAGATGTTTCAATTGCTGATTAAATGGGTTTTCCCACTTAAGGTTACTTCCTATCTTCGCGGATGTCCATTGGGAAAAATTCGTACGCGCGCTAGTTTGAAGAAAACCCTAGCAAACTACGCATCAAAACAAAGATTAATAAATACAGTTTACGTTAAAAATATAATTTAGGCGATTTTTCCATTTAGCAAGTGGCAAGAGCCGGTAAGGCGCGAGACGACGGAGCGTCCTACTATTGAATTTATCGAGTATCGGATCCCGCGGCTCGGGAAAAATGGCTGCACAGTCTCATTCCCAAGGCATCAATCAACAAAAGCGTGTCAGGCTTTACCGATGTTCTGATTGGTTGTTTAGATATTCGCATCTAAAGTGAGAGTAGCAAAAGTTATGCGAAGCGTGTTGCGTATATGAACACCACGTAAAAATATTTCAAATATCAAAATTTCCTGACACACTTTTGTTCGTCATCATCCCAGGAATGTTTTAGCGAAATTTCACGAAAATCGGTCAAATCTGCATACCCTATAAATTCGCTCAAAGTGGATGTGTTCCTCTCAAAATTAAATGCGAGATTTTAGCTGCTGAAGGTTTCTAACAACCTCTATTCCGTTTTAAAATGCCACGGAAAGTCAAATTGTAAGTGAATGCAAATATGTGTTTTGGAGTTGTCAGTCTGCTTGTTTGTACCTTGCTGGAAGAGGCGCTTATTTGTTAACTTCCTCTACGGTCCACGTAAAAATAAAGTCCTCTGCGCTCGGCCTGTTAAATCTTCTTCGGGCATGCGCCTGGCAATTATCCAAGTTTGTGGATGATCTGATTTGCAAAACCGGTCAGAACCTGTTTTAAACACGATTTTATGCACACGCATCCTATTTAGCTATATAGCAAGACCGAGTACTACCGGGAACTAATTTGTTTCTAAGCAACAGGCCGCGCATGCTTGACGAAGATTTAACAGGCCGAGCGCAGAGGACTTTATTTTTACGTGGACCGAAGGGGAAGTTAACAGATAAACGCCTCTGCCAGCAGGGTAGCTTGTTTGTGTTCTGTAATGGCGTGTGTAAATCGGTTTTTCTTCCACCAGAGTTAATTAACTCTGCTTCCACCGAAAAGCTGAAGTCAATGAGACTCTTTCTACCTAGACACAAGGAGATTTAATGCGACTTTTATTTATCGAATTCCTGCGTTTCTGCTGTGAAATTTACGACGAAAGTGTATTTTAGGATTTTGAACTGGTGCTGAATAAAATTCTCTCTTAGCCTAAACTTGTAAAATCGTTTGTATCTGGCGCTGTGTCAAACCCATTTGTGGCTTAAAGGTCAAACAGGGATTGTCACTCACTAAACCGTCGAAATGCATTGGCATAACATTAAATGGACAAAATTTTTAAAATTGGCTCGCCATTAAGTCTTATGATTGCCTTTGTATGAAAGTGTTTTGTTGTTGCTGTTGTTGTTAAGTCCGCGTTCTACTAGTCCGCGCTTTACTAGTCAGCGTTTTACTAGTCCTCGTTTTACTAGTCCGCGTGTTACTAGTCCGCGTCTTACTACTCCGCGCTTTGCTAGTCCAGTCCAGTCCAGTCCAGTCCAGTCCAGTCCAGTCCAGTCCAGTCCAGTCCAGTCCAGTCCAGTCCAGTCCAGTCCAGTCATCCAAATACCATATGCCAATTTCTAATGTAAACTCTGTATGACAGAGGCGACTTTCTGGCGCGCGTTGAAAATAACAAAGCGCAACCTCTCACAAGTGACGACATTTCAAACACTTTAGAAAGAAAAATAACTGAGTTGAAAGTAATTCTAAGCAATAAAGATAAAAACACCACTGCAAATCAAAGGTAAATGCTGAAACAAACAAAATTTAATTCGTAACAATTAACTTCTGCCTTCTGTCTGCGTTAATTTTGGCAACTACCTGTTACTGATCAATTTTCTCGGTGTTTGCGCATACGAAGAATGATCTTCAAGTCCATCATTTCTAACTTGTTGCATGCCAACTGGGGCGGTTCTTAGTTCCAAATCATGATGGCTTGTGTTCAGTTATGCACCGAAGCTGGGTTCCTGTAACTACAAAGTAATTCGTCTCCTTCTTAGGTATCAGTGTGAAATGAATCTGTCGCGGGCACTGCGGTTTTCTTCAGCAAAATAACTACCACTCCACAGCTTGGATTTGTTTGAGGAAAAAGCCTTTGCCTTTCAAATTGAGGCGGTGTCCTGGTACATTTAATTCTTAGGAGCATATATCCTCGTTTTCCGTAGGTTTCTTTCGACAGTTGCAGCAAGAGAACCACTCGCGATTTCCAAGACGTGGGCGACTGAGCGGNGATGAGCTTTTGTTCAAGATTTTTACGGCTTTCCGTGCCACCTAAGTGCAAGGAAAGACCGCAGATTGCCATATGTTACATTAGATTTATCTGAGTATTCAAGAGAAGTAAAGAAGTAATGGCTCTTCCGTGCTACATAAAACTGTAGGCGATTTAAGAATAACGATAATTTTGAGCATGTGCCTTTGATTAAAATTTCGTAAGATTAAGAATGACAAAACCCGAGTTAACGATCTTTCAAACTATGTAAAGTTTACTTTGGGGAAATGAATGTGGAATTTTTAAGAATTTTTTGAAAATCGTCAACGAAATACTTAAAATCACGCCATGTTGTGTATGCGTGACCATTAACAAAAACAAAATCGCTTTTGTTTTAGAAATCATGGCAACTCAAAAAGCGTAAAGAACAATGCAAAGGACTGACCCCAACTCGGATATGATATTTTCGAATTTTCAAAGTGCTTCATTTTACCGTCTGGTTAATTTCATTCGTGAGGTTTATTATGAACAGAGAAGCCGGCCGCTGCAGCCACGATCAAAACCGGCTTAGTTTTCAACGAATTCTTCGTAGCTCACTTTTCAAATTTGTCTTCTTTATACTGTTAATACAGATTTTTCTGAAAATTCTGAAGGAAGCCATAAAAGGGCTGACAATAAAGCCAACTAGTTCAAGCATGTGTTCCCGTGCAGTTTACTGTGGACCGTTTTGAGACTATATGCAAAGACTGCAAATTACGTCTTGCTCACAAAGCACCACAAAATTTGCATATCAGGCTGAGCCAGAGTTCGTGACAGTAATTGGTACATAGGGTGGACAAGGTTGGGTCTTTTAGCCATATGCCTCTTTTCTTTTGTTTCTGACGATCGTTGTTCCGAAGTTTTCATTCAAATCAGTTCAAAGCAGGAAAGAGGTCTCGATGGTTTTCAATTGACAGAACTACCCTACGTAATTTGCATAGCGCGACATTATAATATGATAAATTTGCGAACATGGACTAGCGACTATACTCCCGAAAGAGCAAAAACCTCGACCATTTCTCCAAGAGCAGGAACACGCAACGTATTGTCTTTCTTAAATTTAGAATTTTTATTTAGTTCACGCGGGAAATAAAACATGCACTAATGAGGTTAAATTAATTACATAAAATTGAAGTGTTCGATTCTTCGAAAGTTAGTAACAAGAAGGATAAATTCTTGGTAAAATAGTTTATTAGTGATCTAAAGAGAAATCTGGTACCCCAAAGCAACGCATTGTAGAGAAAGATGCCGCCTGCCGTCGTTTTTGCTAGAGGTAATTGGCGTGAACGAAAAGGATCATTCAAAATCAATTTCCCCCCCCCCCTCCTCAACGGGTTCAAACCACGTCAGCTTTGATTTGATGAATAGGATCAATGAAAAAGTCTTGAATTCTTACTTTTAAAACAGTCTACAGCCGGTCAATGAGTCAAAACTTTTTATAGTTCTCTTATATCCAATGAGAACTCAAAGTACAAACAAGCAAACTGCCAGAAGCGCGGGATAATGCGAGTGACTAAGTCGCGGTTGGTTATTTAGTTTTGTATCTGATTGGTTTAACAAGTGGCGCGAGATTTCTGAAATAATCACACAATGTAGTAGACGAAAACCAAAGAAATCTCGGATAACTTACATCTCACAACTAAAAATTTCTCTACAACTGAACGACTCTCTTCAAATACACACTAGTATTTCTGAACGCTCTCGCTCTGTAATGATACAAAAACCCAGACTGCTGGAGCAAGAAGTCTGAAAAAAAAATGAGGACAGCTCGCATGAAGTTCCAAAATTCTAATATTTCATTTAGTCCTGTTTGGACCTACTCATAACAGCGAGACAAATTCTACGGGCAGGTAATGTTCATGAATTCCTAATCCACTTTACGCCGGGGGTGAAAACAACGGACCTACATTCGTCCGGTTCCAATCGGCCGCCCAAAACCTCGAAGAGATCTCTTCCTGACTTAGTCATCGGATTTTGTATCAAGCCTAAAAACATCAAAGTCTTGTTGCGCTGAAGAACCTCTACAAATTCTTTAGCCCCGTCATCGCTGATAAAGTTTTCTCTCAGCTGCAAATGCGTCAGGGTCTGATTTGTTTTCAGCGCCTGCGCAAGAGCTACTGCACCTGAACAGTCAATGCGGTTTTGACTTAAATCTAGACGTTCAAGAGTACCATTGACCCTGAGACCCTCTGCTAGGATTATAACACAAGGTGAGCTGATTGAGATATGGTTTAGAGCTAAACGGGCCAGCTGAGTGTCACCTGACTGAAGAGCCTTTGAAAACGCTTTTGCTGATGAATCACCAAAAAAAGGCATTATAACTTTGGAATACACCATACTCAAGAAATTTGGAAGAAATTGCGCACACCCCACGTATAGATGAGTCAGAGAATAGTTTGACTGAATAGCCTTTCCAAGCTCAGCTAATGATAAGTCACTAACACGTTGTTCATGAATATCTTTTAACCTTTCATCAACAAAAGGCCCATAAAGATATTCAGTACAAAAATTTAAGCACCTTAATTTTCGGTTAGACACCAAAGCTTGAGAAAGTGCTACGGCTCCCTCATTACCAATGTTATTCCGTGCGATATTCAAGTCCTCCAATACTCTATTGAACTTTAAAGCTTCTGCTAAGGCTTCAACTCCGATATGTGAGATCTTATTATCAGCTAAGCACAAATGAGTCAATGTGTGATTTGACTGGAGAACTCTTCCGAGTGCTTCGGCTTCCACATCACCAACTCCAGCTTCACGCATATCTAAATGCGTTACCGTGTGATTGGCCTGAAGAGCTGGAGTAATTGATGTGATGTACGAGCCGTTCGTCAAACGTAAGTGCTTCAGAGTATGACATGCTTTAAGAACACTTACAAGTGCTGCTGCAGCTGATACATTGAGTTCCCAAGTTAATTTGTTCAGTTTGCAGTTGCCATTAAGAAATTCGAACATAACAAAAAATTGAGAGTTCAAGGTAAAGTAATGACCATTCACTGTTATTTCATCCATTGGAAAACAGCGTGCGAGTGCACCGGCCATCTTGATTTGGTAGGGTTTGATTCCAGTATTAGGATGTTCACATTGAGCAATAGCTGCAATTGTTTTCACTACGAAAGACTCCCTGCCGACTGGAAAAGGCATCCCCCGATTAAGTGGTTCCCAATAATACTTAGCATCTCTGCAGACATCGTCGTATTTATAGGGAAGAGTGAACAACACTGGTTTGTCATCCCTGTCTTTTGCTTGCTGTACATAAGGACGGTAAAAGAATTGACCTGGTTTTCGATGCGGAAAGGCAGCGCATATACTGGAAACCAGGAAAGCAGCTGTATCATCACTTTTACTTGCAGCCATTGTGATGAGAAACTTCCATATCTGCCAGTACTTATCAACTGGAGTAAGCTGTGCCAGCAGGGCGGCTTTGTCCCTTTCAGTAGTTAGCAATTCATGCGCCAGGTGGAACGAGGCGAAATATTCCTGAAAAGTCTTGTGGATAAATGCGTACGATGGCTTCGGTTTAATTCTGCTTGCACTAGGCTGTCGAGAAAGAAATCCAAGCTCAAGGAATTCGGTTGAATGACTTTTCAGCTCTTCAAAAGTGAAAGATAATTGATCTTTGAGCAGAGCTTCGAGAGCCAGCTCTCCTAGCTGATTTAGCTGCTCTGTGTACTTTTTTACGGGATCTTTGTCGTCCAAAGAGATTTGTCTTCTTGAACAATATCTTCTAAGAACACAGCTGACAAGTTCAAAATACAACATGGTTCTGTTGTAAGGTAATACTCCGCCTGTATCTTCAAAAACAAGACATAGAAGAGCTGTGTTAAGCGCACTGGCAGTCAATTCTCTAAGCTGTGAGTCCCTGTCTATTTCCATGATTAGTTTCTTAGCAAGAATCGGTTTCTCGTGGCTGCTAAAGTACTTAGTAATATAATCGTCTGCGTCTTCTTTGGTGTAGCCCACAATCTCAAACAGCGCGTCACAGTGTCGCCGAACTTTCATTCCAGCTTCGTGTCGAGCTGTTAACATGACGTAGGTCAAAGGAAATACTCTCCCTGAAATCAAAGGCATAAATTCTTCGAACAGCTTCTTCGGTAATTCATCCAATCCATCAAGCACCAACAAGATTCTAGTTTGATTGTGGCGAATGAAATGGAAGAACTTTTCCTTGTCTTTCTTGTCTACATCAATTGGTAATAGCTGATCATCAATAGCGTCCTCAATGTTCGCAGTCTTCATATCCCGACAAGTCAGCCTAAGGAACATGTCCACTTCAGGAAAAGAAGGTTCAGTTGTAATTTCCCCCACAGACCAATCATATGCAAGCTTCTGACAGTAGGTGGTTTTGCCCATCCCAGGTGGCCCCTCGATCAACACCACTCTTGGTTTCTTACCTTTACATTCGCATTCACATTTGCAGTCACATTTTTTGAGTGCTCTAAAGACCTCAGTCATTTTGACGAGGTCATCTGTTAACCTCTTTCGTTCTTTCTCACGGGCAACGATCATCAGTCTTGTAAAGATCTTGGCCAGTTCGAATTCCAATTCATCCTCACACCAAGGGAATGGAAACAATACAGCACCCTCGTACTCTCGTCTGATCAGCTCTACAAGTTGCTCTGGGTAATCTGAAAAATCGAATCACACGCTATCGTGCTAACCTAATAATTACAATTTTTTCTTACTAATTTACTACTTATTCAAATAACTCATTCCTTAACTCGTTCCCCCAAGAAATATTTCCATTTATAAGAGCAAGGTTATCTCAACAGAGAAATTTAACACTCTCAATCATATGTTGTCCCTCGCTATAACTATGATAATTGTCTTCTTACTGANGTCCCTGTCAGTAGTTAGCAATTCATGCGCCAGGTGGAACGAGGCGAAATATTCCTGAAATGTCTTGTGGATAAATGCGTAAGATGGCTTCGGTTTGATTTTGCTTGCACTAGGCTGTCGAGAAAGAAATCCAAGCTCAAGGAATTTGGTTGAATGACTTTTCAGCTCTTCAAAAGTGAAAGATAATTGATCTTTGAGCAGAGCTTCGAGAGCCAGCTCTCCTAGCTGATTTAGCTGCTCTGTGTACTTCTTTACGGGATCTTTGTCGTCCAAAGAGATTTCTTTTTTTGAACAATATCTTCTAAGAACACAGCTGACAAGTTCAAAATACAACATGGTTCTGTTGTAAGGTAATACTCCGCCTGTATCTTCAAAAACAAGACATAGAAGAGCTGTGTTAAGCGCACTGGCAGTCAATTCTCTAAGCTGTGAGTCCCTGTCTATTTCCATGATTAGTTTCTTAGCAAGAATCGGTTTCTCGTGGCTGCTAAAGTACTTAGTAATATAATCGTCTGCGTCTTCTTTGGTGTAGCCCACAATCTCAAACAGCGCGTCACAGTGTCGCCGAACTTTCATTCCAGCTTCGTGTCGAGCTGTTAACATGACGTAGGTCAAAGGAAATACTCTCCCTGAAATCAAAGGCATAAATTCTTCGAACAGCTTCTTCGGTAATTCATCCAATCCATCAAGCACCAACAAGATTCTAGTTTGATTGTGGCGAATGAAATGGAAGAACTTTTCCTTTTCTTTCTTGTCTACATCAATTGGTAATAGCTGATCATCAATAGCGTCCTCAATGTTCGCAGTCTTCATATCCCGACAAGTCAGCCTAAGGAACATGTCCACTTCAGGAAAAGAAGGTTCAGTTGTAATTTCCCCCACAGACCAATCATATGCAAGCTTCTGACAGTAGGTGGTTTTGCCCATCCCAGGTGGCCCCTCGATCAACACCACTCTTGGTTTCTTACCTTTACATTCGCATTCACATTTGCAGTCACATTTTTTGAGTGCTCTAAAGACCTCAGTCATTTTGACGAGGTCATCTGTTAACCTCTTTCGTTCTTTCTCACGGGAAACGATCTTTAGTCTTGTAAAGATCTTGGCCAGTTCGAATTCCAATTCATCCTCACACCAAGGGAACGGAAACAATACAGCACCCTCGTACTCTCGTCTGATCAGCTCTACAAGTTGCTCCGGGTAATCTGAAAAATCGAATCACACGCTGTTGTGTTAACCTAATAATTACAATTTTTTCTTAGTAATTTACTACTTATTTAAATAACTCATTCCTTAACCCGTTCCCCCAAGAAATACTTCCTTTTATAAGAGCAAGGTTGTCTCAACAGAGAAATTTAACCCTCTCAATCATATGTTGTCCCTCTCTATAACTGTGATAATTGTGTCTTCTTACTGATTGTTAGAAAGTTTGTGATTTTAACAAAGTTCTTTAGACTGAATGTCATTCAATTTCTCATTAGATTTTTCCATATTATTTCTAACGAGCACAAATAAAGATTGTTGATATTGTCATGTCCTACCAAAAGAAGACTGACGAGTAGAAGTACTGTTTTACCCGCAAACAAATTATAATTACTGGATGAAGTGGAGCATGCTAGGGAGAGATGTGTGCGAGGGCGTTGCTAGAGGGGGAGGGGGAGCCCTGGCGTGCATCAGACCCCCTACCTCAGTTGAATAACGTGTTTTCAACATACAACCCATGCATAAATTCAGGTGGATGATACACGTGCTAGAACATCGGTATAAGCCACCTCATGAATGACGGACAGAAATTACAAACCGTGATCCACCGCAGTGAAAACATGGATTGTTCACGCCGTAAGCCTTCGGATGGCCGGGGAACTAGCATTATGATATGCTGGTTCTTCCGCTGCTTTTTCTGACTCCGACAATTTAGTTTTTAACGGATCGTCAGCGTCGCAGTCATAGGCGAAATCGGAAGAAAACAAACCTGTTCTGATTCTTCTCGCTGCGACTCTATCTAGCTAACGACTCTACTTACGGCTCCGAATTTCGATTATTCACCGATTGCAAACGTTCTTACGATTCCGACCACAACCCCAATGTTGCCAGTTGAAACCAGCCCTAATGCCAATTCTCAAGGCTGTCAGATAGTGAAATAATCACACAAAAAAGCAAAAAACAAAAAAACATTAAATAGTGCTAGACCCTATTGACGCAAAACGTTGCGATTATCGGTGTCTTGGAAGCAAATCATTAACCGATACCAAAGGCTGACAAAATCATTAGCTCCTTAGAGCATACAAGACCACTTTTCAAAGATTTAAATGTTATCAAATTATTTGATGAACTAACTGTCCACATTCCGATTTTTATGTATAAATTTAAAAACCAACTTCTTCCCACTAATTTTAATGTTTTTTTCACTTCAGTAAAAGAAACTCATAATTATAATACAAGCAGGGTCCGAAATTGCGACCGACTGGTCGCCAATGCGACCAAAAATTAGGTGTTGGCGACCAGAATTTTAGAACTGGTCGCCAGGAGGCGACTAACATTTTGTCCCCTCGGCATTTGAAATTCCAAGGTAAAAGGAAAAGAAAACTTAAAGCTCCCGTGGATAACTGTAGTAAAACGAAGCGACGATCGCCATATTTACCTAGCGCCATATTGTTTCAGCGGCTTCTTTCAATACGGATATCGCGGACAAAATCCGTGACGAGATCGAAAGCGTCGGCAGAATCACATGCGCTTAGTCCTCCATCAGGCGGTGTGCGCACTGGGATTGCGATGCATTGTGAATGTACAATTTTCAAGATGGCGGCGAAAACTTGTTAAGTTGGTGAGTTTCGGAGAGCATTTTCGACCTAAAACAGAATGTATCTCTTTCGTTTTTTTGCCGAAATGTCTCTTTCAACTTCCCAACAGTTAAAAAACATGGTTTTTGGGTTCAAACAAAAAATGCTCTTCTGTTTTTAATAGCCCATTTTATCTACGCTATTTTACTGTGAAATTGACACCTTTTCTTAAAAGCTTAGAATTTCTTACCTCTGTTACTTTGAATGATAAAAAAGGTGTAAAAGGCTTTTTTGATCTTCGTTCTAACCCTGTATATAAACGCTCCCCAACGCTCCCCAGTGCATCTTCAGATATAACCATTTGAACATGGTTAACTTTTAGGGAAATATGGCGATCAAAGACAACAAACGGCCTTACGCCGGCGCTCATCACCGTCCGTAGAAAGCTTTGAAATATACTATCAAATCTTCAATTGAAAACAAAACATACTAGACTTTTATAATCGAAAAAACACCTTCCTAAACGAAGTAAAAGGATCATCACTAAAATTTCTCACCTCTCTCGATTTCCACGTTCACTTATGGACAAATACAAAGCCTTATGTATCCAACAAGAAGCATCGATAGCCGCAGTTTGGCCAGAAAATTCACGCAAATTGACTTTTCTGCTGATTTTTTCCAGAAAAGGCCAGAGACAGTTGATTCCCATTACGCATTCAATCAGCTAGCCCCGAAGAGATGTTTACCCCACGGCGTCTGCATGCAAATGACTTAGATTTCAAATTTCACCCATGAATCAGCGTGATCCCAGTGAGCACACCGCCTGGTCCTCAATAGTTTACTTAAATACCGGTTCGAGCAATAAGAGTGTGAGGGCCTGGCACAAGCACATTGATCGTCGTTGCGTTTTCGTTCCGTTTCAACGAAGCACTCTTAGTTGAATCTAGGTATAGAAAGAGGGCCCCCATATGTCTTATACACAGAACTTAACAGGGTACCAGCATAGTTCCAACTAAATGGAAATAATAAGAGAAAGACACCCGAAGCCTTCACAAGAACGTTCTTCGAACGGACAAACACGCCCATTGAGATGTAGGACTCTGTTACCGTTACACGGCTTTTGTGAAGTATGTATATTGCGTTAAATGAAAACATTTTGTTGAAAGGTTAAATTTTGTGCTTTACTATAAATTAAGGTATACCGTGGCCGGTATGGACAGATTACGTACGTTATTTACCCAAAACACATGCAAACTTAATAATTGGCGGACAAACTTAACTAAAAGCCAGCCAACTTAATTAAATGCACGCAAACTGTAAAAAGCGCGGACAAACTTAACCACCACTGAAATACTTGTTCATGCATTTGTATCTTCAAAATTGGATTATTGTATTTCATTACTCGATGGACTACCGAACTACCAAGTAAAAAAGTTACAGCACGTCCAGAACGCCGCTGCTCGTCTCATCTCTCTTTCAAGAAAACATGAACACATTACGCCTATTCTAATAAATCTTCACTGGCTTCTGATACATTATCGCATTGTGTTTAAAATTCTACTCATCACGTACAAAGCTCTTAACAATCTTGCACCATCGTACATTCGTGATCTACTCACACATTACGTTCCAGCTCGTCAACTGTGTTCATCATCTAAGAATCTCCTTGTGATTCCTCATTTTAATTTGAAGACATACGGTGCAAGATCTTTTTCTGTACCTGCCCCCACACTCTGGAACGCTTTGCCGTCTGATATCATGGACAGCTCATCAGTGTTCGTTTTTAAAAACAAACTTAAAACTTTTCTTTTTAAAAAAGCCTTTTTCTAATTTTACAATTGTGTCACTCTTGTTAAGCGCTTTTAAACTTTGAGGAAACTAGCGCTGTATAAATACTTTATTATTATTAACTATTATTATTATTATTATTATTATTAATAAAGGGCATGCAAACTTTACAAAATAACGCGTACAAACTTTATGACAAGCACGCAAACTTTAAAAATAGCACGCAACGTCAAAGTGAAACACATACAAACCAAAAATGAAACGCATACAAAGTTAAAATGAAAAACACAAACTGAAAATGAGACACGCAAACTTAATAAAACGCGCGCAGACTTAAAGTGAGACACGCAAACTTAATGAAACGCGCTCGAACTTAAATTGAGACAAACAAAAATGAGAATAAAACTTGAGAATAAAGACGCACGCAAACTTAATATAGAACGTACACAAACTTAAAAAAATACGAACACGTACGTTCTACTTTAAGTTTGCGTGCGTGTTTACTCCTAAGTTTGCAGGCGTTTCATTTCAAGTTGGTGTGCATTTCATTTTCAGTTTGTTCGTCTCATATTAAGTTTGTGCGCGTTTTATTAACTTTGGGTGTCTCATTTTAAGTTTGTGTTTTTAATTTTAACTTTGTACGCGTTTCATTTTTAGTTTGAAAGCGTTTCATTTTAACTTTGCGTGCTATTTTTAAAATTTGCTTGCCTGTCATAAAATTTGTACGCATTTTACTAAGTTTGCATGTCCTTTATTTAGTTTGTGAGCGCTTTTTACAGTTTGCGCGCATTTAATTAAGTTTGCTGGCTTTTTGTTAAGTTTGTCCGCAAATTATTAAGTTTGCATGTGTTTTGTGTAAATAACGTACGTCCCTACCGGCCACGGTAAAGGTAAGTTATACCATGGGTTCCAGAGGGATTGTTTTCTTTAGTTTGCGGCAAATTCAGCGGCGAAGCCGCGATCGTGGCGATGCAAGCAAGAAACCAGAAAAAAAGGAAACAAACAATTAGTTTTGGCGACCAAACCCGTCCATCTGGCGACCAAAATTTTAGGTTAGTCGCCAGTTGGCTCCCTTAGGAATAAGTTAATTTCGGACCCTGAAAAGGCTTTCCTCTAGAACGACTTTATCTCTGCCAAAGACAAGAACAAACTATGGTATTTTTAATATTAGATATCATGGCGCTAAGGTTTGGAATGCAATCAGTGATGACATTAAGCTTCTATCACTTAAACAATTTAAGAAGAAGTTAAAATCAAGTATTCTTGCAAGTTACTAACTGACTTAATTATACCACACACTTTCTTTCTTCGGTTAGTTAATCTGCCTAACAAACTGTATTTTCCTGCTTATCTTCGCTAATTTGTATTTTTAGCTTGTAACTAGTTTTTGTTTGTGTGTTTCTGTGTTTGTTATACGTGTTACTTTAAGAAGTCTTAAGTACCTGACACCGTTAGTCATTACAGTATTTAAAATCTTAAGGATGGCTGTTCAATTATATTAGCCTGGTGGTTATTTTGGGCAGCCATGCACTTTATTTTATTTGTTTTATTACTTTTTTGTAAATTTAATTTAATTCAGGGGTGCAAATAAAGTTGTTGTTGCTGTTGTTGTTGTTATTGTTGTCGTAGAGTTACAAGGTTTTT